CACCTTCTGTCTATGTGTGCCCTTAAAGCTAAAGTGAATCTCTTATAGGCAGCATATAGTCGTACTTGGGTTTTTTTAATCCATTTAGCTCCTCTATTTTTTTTATTGGAAAATTTCATCCCTTTACATTAAAAGTAGTTATTAATAGCTAAAGATTTACTATTGCCATTTTGGTAACTGTTTTCTGACTGTTTCATCATTCTTTTTTTCCTTTCTTCCTCTTCTATTGTCTTCCTTTGTGATTTTATGATTTTTTTTTTTTTTTGTAGTGGTATGCATTTATTGCTTTCTCTTTTGTGTATCTACCACAGTGTTTTTCTTTTGTGGTTACCATGAGGCTTACTGAGATATCTTATAGTTAAATAGTCAATTTAAACTAAGAACTTTTTACCTCAGTCACATATAAAAACTATACACTTTTTTCTCTTACCTCTACATTTTGTTAGCGATGTCACAATTTACATATTTTCATACTGTGTATACATTAACAAAAGAGCATAATTATAGCTCTTTTTAATACTTTTGTCTTTTTTAACTTTTATACTACAGTTAAACATGACTTATATACTACCATCATAGTATGCTATGGCCTGAAGCTATGTGTCCCCCAAAATTCATACGTTAAAATCCTGACCCTTAAGGTGATACTATCAGGAGATGGGGCCTTTGAGAGATGATTAGATCATGAGGGCAGAATCCTCATGAATGAGATTAGTGCCCTTATAAAGGAGGTCAGAGAGAGCTCTCTCATCCCTTCTGCTGTGTGATGTTACAGTAAGAAGACAACTGTCTATGATGAAGTGGATCCTCACAAGAGATGAATATACCAGTGCCTCAATCTTGAATTTTCCAGCCTCTAGAACTGTGAGAAATAAATATCTGCTGTTTATAAGCTACCCAATCTATAGTATTTTTGTCATAGCAGCCAGAATGAACTAAGAAACAGGATTAGAGTCTTCTGAATTTGACTACATATTTACCTTCACTAGTGAATTTTATACTTTTGTTTTCATGTGCTAATTAGCGTCCTTTCATTTTAACTTAAAGAGCTGCTTTTAGTTTTTCTTGTAAGGCAGGTCCGGTCTAGTGGTGCTTAATTCTCCCAGCTTTTGTTTGTCTTGGAAAATCTTTATCTTTCCCTCATTTTTGAAGGACAGCTTTGCCAAGTATAGAATTTTTGGTTGGCATGTTTTTATTTTGCTATTTTGGATATATCATCCCACTCTCTCCTAGGCTGTAATATTTCTATTGAGAAATCCACTGTAAGTCTTCTGGGGGTTCTCTGGTATGTGATGAGTCATTTTTCTTTTGCTGATTTTAATATTCTCTTTTGTGTTTGACTTTTGAGAATTTGATTACAATGTGTTTTATTTTAGACCTTTTGATGTTCAACATATTTGAGGTTCTTTGGGAATTGTGGACTGGATGTTTATTTTCCTCCTCTGATTTGGGAAGTTTTCTGTCACTGTTTCTTTAATCTTTCTGTCCTTGTTCTCTGCTCCTTCTGGGACTCCAGTAGTGAGTATATTGATTTTTTTAATGATATCCCATAAGTCACATAGGCTTTCTTACTCTTTTTCATTCTTTTTTCTTTTATTCCTGTAACTGGATAATTTCAAATGACTTGTTTTCAAGTTTGTTGATTCTTTCTCCTGCATGATTGATCATGCTGTTGAAAGTTCCTATTAAATTTTTCAGTTCAGTCATTTTATTTTTTAGTTCCAAGATTTATGTTTGATTCTTTTTGAAGTTTCCTACTTTTTTGTTAAAATTCCCATTTTGTGTATGTATTGTTTTCCTGGTTTTATTTAGTTGTCTGTGTTCTCTTATACCTCATTGATCTACTTTAAGACAATTATTTTGAATTCTTTGTCAAGCAGTTTATGGATCTCCATTTCTTTAGGGTCAGTTACTGGAGCTCTATTAGCTTCCTTTGGTGTTATCATGTTTGCCTGACTCTTCATGATTTGTGCAGCCTTGCATTGGTGTCTGTGTATTTAGAAAAGCAAACAGCTTTCCAGTCTTTACAGATTGTTTTTGTCAGATAAATACCCTCTCTTGCTGCTTCCCTTGACTTACAGAATTATGGTTGGGCAGGGCTGGAGCTGGGTTTTGTGGCTGTTGCTGGGTCTGCAGTTGGCAAGCCTCAGGGGCAAGGATGGGTGTGATTTCTGCTGGGTCCCTGAGCATGCTCCTGTTGGGTCACTTGGCTGGTCCCTTGGCAGCAAGGACTGCCTTTATACTGTAGTAGAGTGGGACTGGAGCCAGGTCACAGGATTGCTTCAGCAGTAGCAGTCAGGTCTGAGGTCAGTGGGCATGTTACCAGGGCACAGATGGGCATAGTTTCTCCTGGGTCCAATGGCAGAAGGGGCTAGTGGCAGAAACATGGACAAGCAGGGCTGCAGTTGAATCCAAGAGAGATTGGGCAGCTTTCAGCTTGCAACTGGGATTATAGTCAGTGAGTCTGCCACCAGGGAGTGTGCCTGCCTTCTCAAAGTGCTGTCCTTGGTCTCGGGCTCCACCGGGATTTTGAAACCTCCTACTTGCACCACAGATATTCCCACTTTTGTCTATAGATGGCTGCCAAATATTTGTTTCTGTGAAGGGGAACACAGGGTGGAGACCTCTTATTCTGCCATCTTGCTCATGTCACTCCCAGCTCATAACATTCCAATTGTGCCTGTGGGTGTGCATGTGTCTATCAATTCATACATATAAACTGCTTGGTTTTTTGCTAAAGTTGACAATATTAAAATAAAATGTATTTATTCATTTTTTCAATGAATATTTTTTAGTAATATTTATGCACAGCACTGTACTAGGTGCTGAGAATAATCAGAAGACATGGGAGGCAGCATTCCTGTGCTCAGGAAGCTTATTATAGAAGGTCCCTCAACAAGACCAATATACAAGAAACAGCTATATAACAAGATCCCATCTAAATAATTGTCAGGCAAAATTACCAGTGATGGTGCAAGCAGATAATAAACTATACACAAGTAGCTGGTAATGACTTCACGGAATAGAGGGTGACTAGGAGCTGGAGTGGGTAGGGAGAGTAGGGCGCAATGTAATAAAAAAGGACCACACAATTGGAAGCTGCATATAATGTTAATAATAACTATATTTAAAACAATACAAAATCCACGGTAACCAAGATATTTAGGTAATGGCAAATAATCCACTGTTCTCTACAAAACACTTAGGTTTAGATTACTCCTCTATCAGCCCCATGTAGACAGGGACAATATCTCTCTCTCACTGCTGGATTTCTATTGTCTTGTCCAGTTCCTGGCATATGGTTCCAAAATTTTTTGTTGAACAAATGAACCAAATCTGGCCTCATCTAGAATGGCTAATCAACTTATAAACTTGCCAATTTTCCCTCCTCTCTCTCCCCATTACCCATTTCTCAAACCTGTATCACCCTATCTCTACTTACTGACCTAGTCCTCTAATTAATTTGCTACATAATGAATAAATATTTGATAAATATTTATGGAATTTCTCTTATGTTCCAGGCATTGTTATAAGTCCTGGGGAATACATGGTGAACCTGATCTCTCAGAGTTTCTACTCTAGGGAGGGGAAAGTAAACAAACAAAGTAAACAAGTAGATAATTAAGATAAGTTCAGATAAGCACTCTGAAGAAAATTAAACGCCGTCATCTCTTGCCCTGCCTCCTAACCAGTTTCTCTGCTTCACATCTGGTGTCACTAAAGTCTACCCACTGCCAGAGTGGTACACCTAAATTACAAATTCTGACCTTGAAGCCTTTCCATGGATCTTCAGTGCTTTTATAATAAAATCTGAACTACTTACCATCCATGACTTGGACCCTGTGTGCCTTCACTAATCTGATTTCCCCCACTACCTGCTACTTTCCAGATGGCCCCAACTCATGAACACCAATGCTATTTCTTCTCTTTTGTGCCCTTTCTCCCTTGATTATCTTCCCCATAATCTCTTGCCACACACAAACATCTTTGCCTGGCTGACTCCTATGTTCTCATTCAGTTTTCTCAAGCATCATTTCCTTCAGGTACCTTTAATGATCACCCTATCCTGTTTACCACACACACACACACACACACACACACACACTATACACTGGGATGAGTGGCCCTTCTGTGTGTTTCTATTATTGAACTTATATCTTATATGGTAATTATATTACTGTGCTTCATGTTTCTGTTTCTCCCACCAATCAAATTCTTACTAGCAGATACCATTTTTCTTTCATCTTGAAGTCCAAGCACAATGCCTAATATATATAGACATTTAATAAATTACTATTATATTTTTAAAAATGAATTTTTAATGGAAAAATAATAAATGGACAGAAAAAAATAGGTATTACCTCTGAAAAGCCAAATAATTCTTACTCTGTGCTTATCTCTGATTCTTTATTTCTTTCTTTATTTTTTGCAGCTCCTATCAGTGGACAGTTTGGTGAGTTCCCCTTCCTTTTGCCCTTCAGTGTCTCTGGGTAAGAATTTCTCCCTAATAAATATGAAACAATTGTAACGGCTGTCAGAGGATCCCTAATATCTCCTGTTCTTGCCAAGACCAGCAGGAATGTGAAAGTGTCTCCTGGTCTACTGGTATTGCCCAAGGGCCAGGATAGCTTCATGGTCACTCTCTGAACCTCCCTGGAAGAAGTGGCATATATGTAAGCAGCTCCTGGCATTTCCCATGCCCCACACTTACTCCTACTGCAAATGGACTCCAGTCAACCAGACAAGATATCTTCAACTCCATGGCAAAATGCGCAGGGCTTGGGATAAGATTTTCTCCAATCAGCAACCAAGAAAAACTCCTCTGAAAACATCACACTGTGGAGATACAGCAGCAGCATTGCATCCTATACAGTTTCAAGAGTAAAATCCTCCAGGAAATCTATGGAGAGCACGAGAACATCCAACAACTGAGCCCTTAAAAGGAAGAAATACACAAAAATGGGAGTTTGCGAGAGAAGAAAAATTGTCTGTTTCATATACTCTCTTAGTTCTGACTCTTATTGCCATTCTTCTCAGTCAGAGAATGTCTTGGATATTTGAGGACCTATGAATAGCAAGAACTCTCTTCAGTCTCTCTCCTTGTGCAAAATCTGCTGCCCAGAGTTTCATCCTTGTCTAGCTCACCTCTGGATTCCAGCGAATGACTTGTCCATCCTTTGCTCTGCCGCAGTTAGCTATGATAGGATTTTTCTGGTCATTTTCATCGTCATGTATAAAGCGAAGCTGTTAGACAAGTTAATCTTTCCAGCTTTTCTCAGTGCCAAAATCTTAAGATAATATAATTTATCCTTTTAGGGAAAGTGGAAAATTGTGATTTTAATAACTCCTTGAGAAGTTCTTATGGTTTTATGAACCAGATGAAGTGGCAGGGGCAGGGGGTGACTTTCTCTAGGACTCAATTCCATAACTGGTTAACAAGCCATTTTTTCCCATTGACGTTTGGCAGTGAATCTTGCTGCTATTGCCCTCTTAGAAACATTTTGCTCATTGCCATCTCCTGAGCAATCACTGTCCCCTGGGTAGGTGAGTACTCTGGCTGCCATATAGCCTTGAGCAATCAGTGACCTTCCCAGGGGGTGTTCTAAGAGATTTCCCAATGCCATATTCTCCAGTCTGTCCCTCACAAACCACAGTAATGGGGGCTGCAGGCAACTCCACCTCAGACTGTTTCTCTTTCCTCCTCAGCAACTTCATCCAAATCTGTGATTTCTGTCCATCCTCCATGGACCGTTGCCTTCCCAGGAGAGAAGGTGAAACTGGTTTGCAGTGGATCTCATTTCAAGCGACCAGAGATGTCAACACCATACCGTTGGTATTATAGGGGGAAACAAATAAGCGAAACCTCAAGTAACACCTATGAGGTTCACGATTCTGGAGAGTACAGATGCCAGGCCCCAGACTCAATAAAAAGTAGCTCTGTGAGCTTGCTCTTTTCTCAAGGTGAGAAAAAAGTGAAAGAATTAAAAACTTTTGAAATTATGTAGTTACCCAGAACCTATCCAATGTTTACTGAATCAAAATTTATAAGAATAGGGCTGAAGAATTTGTATATTTTTTACAAGCTACTTTATTTGAATAGTTCCTGAATCTATGTAAACTTTTAAGACTAGATAATTTACATGGAATAATAAGCACTATGAGGATTGTTCATATTTGTAGATAGATGATAGATAGCTATAGGGAGGGAGAGAGAGAGAGGAAGGAAGAAACATTTCCTTTTTTGTCCTAAAGCCACCTGTTTTGAATGTGAAGCAGAGTCTTCCTACTTATAATGCTCTTTAATTTAGTGAACAAGGAAACAGTGTAATAGTAAGAAGTAAATAGTATACTTATCCTCTTTGATCTGACAAGTCTCCTCTTAAGAATTTACCTACTGAAACAATCATAGATATATTCTCTTAAAATTGAAGGACATTAAAAGGTCAAGAAAAGAAAACTCATTAAATAAATTACATTGCTGCCATTGAAGGAAACTTTGTGGCCATGGAAAACTAGGTTCAGTAGTGCTATTGATGACAGAAAGTGTTCAGAGTACATTAAAAGAAAACCAAGTTATCAATTACATAAATAATATTCCAATTTCATAAAAATAAAAAAATACACACAGACTCTCACATACATGCACATGGAAAGGAGAACTGGAAAAGCATATACCAAAGTCTGGGTGGTGAGATGATTGGAGATTTTTATTTACATTTCTGCTTTCCTAATTTTCTTAAGGCATGTGTGTTCGTTCTAAAATCAAAAAGCAGAAATGATAATTATTTTAAGAATCATTTTTCTCAGCCCGTGTTCCTATAAAATCTACTTGGAATAATAATGAAAAGAAGGTACAAACAGTGGGGTGAAACGAATAACTGGTCTTGTGTTTCCTACAGCTACCCTGATCCTTCAGGCTCCACTTTATGTGTTTGAAGGAGACTCTGTGGTTCTGAGATGCCGAGCAAAGGCAGGAGTAGCACTGACTAATGTGATCCTATACAAGAATGATAGATTGCTGGCATTCCTTAGTAACACCTCTGACTTTCACATTCGTCAAGCAGATCTGAAGGACAATGGAGCATATAAGTGTAGTGGATTTAAGAAAGACAGTAGCTCTGTTGTTTCAAACAGAGTCAAGATCCAAGTCCAAGGTAAAGACTTCATTACTTGTGAAATGGGTTAGTCAAAGGAGGGTCTCTGAGGTTGTAGAAGGGAGAATAGGAAGAAAAGGGTGGACTGGAATCCCATTGAACCTCCGGGCGCATTCCTGTAAGGAACAGAGAAAGCTCAACTGTGCTTTGGGCTGAAGGATGCTAGGAGTCAAAAGTGGCATCTCTTTCTGTGCCTGCTTTTGTATGTTCTGCATGCGGGTGCTGAGGATGAATTATGTTTTTCTCCAGAGCAGTTCCAAGCCTCATTGCTCTGGAGACTGTTGTAATCTTTCTCTCTAGAGCTGTTTCCACCTCCTGTGATGAAAGCCAGCTCCTTCCAGCCAATCGAGGGGGAACTCGTGACCCTGACCTGTGAGACCCAGCTCCCTTCACAGAAGTCAGATGTCCGGCTCCAGTTCTGCTTCTTCAAAGATGGACAGACCCTGCAGTCAGGGTGGAGCAGCTCCCCAGAATTCCAGATCAACACCATATGGAGAGAAGACTCAGGGTCTTACTGGTGCCAGGCACAGGCAGTGACTTCCCTTGTCTGGAAACAGAGCCAGACATCCAAGATATATGTGCAGAGTGAGTGTCATTGGGTTCTGAGATCTACCAGGGCTGGGTCTGGGAAGAGCCAGACAGAGCTGCACATCTTCTTGGGCCGCTGTTCCATGTGGAATGTGCTTCTCATACCTGTCGGGATGGGATGAAGAAAGGTATGAGTGAAGAAACCCCAGTTCTTGTGGACATCTTAGAGGAGCTTAGAATCAAGAAAGTCTAACAGAAGATTATTTTTTCTTTCAATGCCATGAGATACAACTCTTTCTTTGCCCTATGAAAGCTCTCTTTCTTGACATCATTTTTCTTTTCTTGCTAGGCCCATAGGCATAAGCTGTGGCTATGGTAGAGGCCTCTGGCTAGGCTGGATGGACTCAGCTCAGCCAGATGGACAGATTCCTAGAATGCTAGATGCCTGGAGAAGAACATTTGAAAACAAGAAAATTAAAGTACAAAAGCTTTAGGAATAATGGTTCCAACTTGATGTGTCTAGGGATGGTGTTGTACCCACTATTGCTCTCTCCTATATCTCTGAAGTTGTATAGGTTTCAAGTATGACTGCAAAACAATGGTCAGATGCCTCCCCAGATTAAACTTGACCTGTCTCGTAGGAAATCTATTTGAGCATTGGGAAGGCATATATAGTCTGGGATGCATGCTTTGCTGAGTAAGAAGGGAGTGAAAGTGGTAGCACACTCCATAAATTTATTCTCATTCCTGGGGAAAAAAATTCGTGCTAAAATTATTTCTCCTAAACTTCCTAGATTTTATTAATATTCTATTCTCCAATCACAGGTAACAGGTGTTTCTTAGATCACCAATTTAAGGAATGACCATGAAGAGAATGTGGAGAGGGTCTTATCTAAGAGTTGCAACACAGTAATTTCTAGCATAGACTCTCCCCCAATATAATTGATGGAACCCCAGCCTCAAGCTCTATCTACCCTCTGTTCAGGTATCTTGATCTTCAAGATCCCAGGATGACTCAAAAAGGCTCTGCTCTAAGAGAACTGCTCTAAGCCAACATCATTATTTGAAACCATGCACACCTAGAGTGGAACACTTTCATCACAGATTTTCCCACTTAGAGGGACTTGCTTGAGTCCACGGCCTCTGACCATTTAACTGACAAGCTAGAGGAGTTAAGAAGTGCTTCCTTGAGAGCAAGCTTACTGTATATGCCAATGATTGATTTTCATCTAGCCACTGCAGTGACCACAGCTCCAGGACAAGCACCTCTGTTGCAAAGTCCCCCTGCCCCCTTCAACAACCCCACCACTTTCCCCAAAGAATGCCACTGTTGGGCATTGGGTGTAATCTCAGGAATGACTGGTCCATGCCCTATTAGGGGATAGGTAGGACATCAAGGGAGGTGGGCAAGGTTGCCTCTATTCATTGAGCCAGGTACTCCACAAGATCATTATGGAGTAGAAGGTCTCTCAAGCCATGGAGGGAACATGGTCTCCCCACCACTTCCCCCTTCTTCTCAAGGAACAAGCCCAATTCCACCCCAGGCCAACAATCCACATTGGATCAGCAGTTTTAGCCCTTCCCATCCTGTGACTCTTTTCCAGCCATGAGTATCTCATTGCTAAGAGTCCTATATGTCGTTTTTATCCATTTAGGAGGTGTTGCCAAGGTCCAAATACACACCCTCCCTGCCTTAGAGTTCGTGATTCCAGGACAGGAATTGGTCCTCATCTGCTCAGTAGATGGAGTCCCAGGGCTTGTCAGAATCTCCTGGTACAAAACATCAAACAAGGAAAGTATGAAAATAAAGATTCAGAATTCCCTGAAAGCAGAATTCAAGATCTCCATGGTGAAAAACAGCGATGCTGGAGAGTATTACTGTGAAGCCAACAATGGTGGCCTCTCCTTTCTCAGCAAGCCAGTGACCATCAATGTGAAAGGTGCATCTGCTAGATATTGTCTGAGGAATGGGTTATCAAACTTAGTGAAGACCACAACGTAGTTGAGTGGGAATGGATATTGATAGTTAACAATAATTTAATACTCTGAATAACCTACCAAGAGTTAGTCAGAGACTAGCAGGAGGGGGAGTTAGGGATAGAAGGGGCTGTGGGACATGGGAACTTTTGTAAACTCTTAGAAATGGAGGTTAGAGAAAACGCTCAGTGATTGGCCTGTGTCCAAACCCTTCATATTTACAAGTTTCATCTTAGTTTAAAGAAATGGCTCCTGGGAATAAAGTAAGAACCAATAGGATGTTAGAACCAGGTCTCTTCTGGCTCCGTGTCTCTTGATAAGCCTCAGTGATTTAAGGATGTGCAGGGACCCTCCCTGTCCACCTTTTTGTCTCCTTCAGCCCCAGTGACGCATCCTTTCTTCACCATTAGGGCCCCTAGGATACAGGATGCTGTGAAGAAAGTGGTAGAGCTTCACTGGGAAACCAAGGGAGCCTCTCTTCCATCCTGTATCAGTTTTATCATGAGGCTGCAATCCTGAGGACCCTAGAGCCCTATAGAGGTGGAGCATCCCTCAATCTCTGTGCCCACAGAACATTCTGGGAATGACTCCTGTGTCCAGATAATGGCCTGGGGGCCCAGCCAGCAAGGAGAGGCCACTCTCTGTCAGTTGTGAGTTAACTCTGACCACCAGAAGTCACAGCCAGAGTCAGGTTGCACATTTCCCCCATAGTCTAGAGACTCCAGCTACAGAAATCACAGGCTTTTGGCTCATGTGGGATCACAGCAGGCTTGCTGCCTCTGCTTGGGAGTTCTGAGCTTCTTCCTGTGACCACATTCTCAGGAACTGAGGAATTCCTTAGAGTGAATCATCAACAGAAAAGCATACAGTCTGAACAAAACTCCCTGAACATAGCTGTGAAAATTTTTTAGGGTCTAAATACTGTCAGATCAGCAATCTCTGGCCAAAGGGAAATTACAGAGTTCAGCATCACCTGACTTAGATAATAGTTCTTGATTCTTCCATCAATCAACAAAAGTCCAGCCATTCCTGGTTCCAGTCCTTCTCTTACAGCTACCCAACAAATCTCTACTCTCTTACCTGCTTCCTTTCTCTTCCCCAAGTCATCTGTGTTAGTCTGTTCAAGCTGCCGTAACAAAGCACCACAGACTGGATGGCTTAAACAACATGTATTTATTTTCTCACAGTTCTGCAGACTAGAAGTCTAAGAACAAGGTGTCAGTAGGATTGGTGTCTAATGATGGCTCTCTTTCTGGCTTGAAGTTGGCCGCCTTCCCAGTGTGTCCTCACATGACCTTTCCTCTACGTGAGGTCAGAGAGAAAGAGAGAGAGATGTCTGGTGTCTCTTCCTCTTCTTATAAGGACCTCAGTCCTGTCTGACTAAAGCCCCACCCTTATAATCTCATTTAACCTTAATTATCTCCCTAAAGGCCCTATCTCCAAATATTGTCACATTGGGTCTTATGGCTTCAACATATGCATTTTGGAGGGACACTATTCAGTTCATAACACCATCCTAATGTTGCCATTGGCTCCCAGATCTTTGAACAGGTGTCTACCTCTTGTGGGCCTCACTCTTTTTTTGGTGAGGAAGATTGGCCCTGAGCTAACATCTGTTGATGATCTTCCTCTTTTTGCTTGAGGAAGATTGGTGCTGAGCTAACATCTGTGGCACCTTCCTCTGTTTTGTATGTGGGATGCCACCATGGCATGGTTTGATGAATGGAGGTTTGCTGAACCTGCAAACCTTGGGCCGCTGAAGTAGAGTTCAGGAACCTAACCACTATGCAACCAGACCAGGTGGGTCTCATTGTTTAACCAGCCCTGATGCCATCAGACGCTTAATGTGTCTGCAGCATCTCTCTCTTTCTCTCTCTCTGGTCCCCAACATCTGCAGAACTCTGTTTTTCTCTCTTTATTCTTTTGTCTTCTGAATCCCCAGATACTTAGGTACTGAATCAACCTCAGCAGCTCACAAATCATTTCTACTTACCAGGGAGGTGGAGGTATCCCTCCATATGTTGTCTCAATGAAGTTAATTTTTGACAATAACCAATGTGCAAATCTGTGCAGGATACAGAGACAGGTAGCAACCTCATAGTTACTCCAAAGATGTAAGTATGGTGGTAGGGAGAACCTCAGACATCATCACCTCCTGTACTAGTATCTGATGCCATCCTGCCATCAAAGCTATAAAGGTTGTTGTGGTAGTGAGAGGAAAACAGTTTCTGTGGAGCCCTGTGCCATTGCCTCCATTCATGGCAAACTCCAGGCCCAGTTTTAAGGAGACAATGTGACTCAGCACTGGACCAGGAGTCAGGAGACAGAGCCAGGTCCTGCCTGGCCCTGAAAACAGCCTGCTGAGTGGCCACAGGCAGGTGTCCTAGCCTCTTCCTAACTCCGTTTTTCACCTGTAAAGAGAGAGGATCAGGCTGGATGCAGGGAAATTGTAAGAACAGAGGAGAGGGTCCTGGAAGAGTATGAGAATCTGGACAGAAAAAGGGTCAAGGGCAGAGCCCTGAGACCAACCCAAGTGAAGGGCTTAATAGAGAACAGGGACTGACAAGAAGACTCAAAATGGTTTGGGCAGGTAGGGGACAGCTCTTCCACCGGCATACAGCAGAGGGAAGGAACAAGGTAAGCGTGTGGGTCTTGTGGCAGCAAGATAAAGGACTTCTCCCCCAAGAGTGGCATTTTCTCTAGAAAACAGGAGTGAAGTCACCTAACAAGGGGAGACAGGAGAGGACAAGGGGCCATAGGTCTGATGGTAAAGGAAAACACCAGCATGAGGAAAGGAGAGAGCTGCTGAGAAAAGCCTGGGAGGCTGCTGGGCCCCTCTGAGGGCTAGTGCAGATGAGATGGGGCATTTCACTGGTCACTGGTTGAAATCGACAGTAAGGGGCAGAAGCAACTGTTGACTAATTTTTTTCTCTCCCTCAGTTCCTGTATCTCCTCCTGGCCTCACTCTCAGCCCTCCTGGGGACCGGGCTCTTGAAGGAGATATGGTAACACTTCTCTGTGAAGCCCAGAGAGGTTCTCTTCCGATCCAGTACCAGTTTTTTCGTGAAGATGTATTTCTCAAGGAGATAGAAGTCACTTCATTGAGAACAAGTTCCTTCAGCTTCTCTCTGACTGCAGAGCATTCTGGGAACTACTATTGCACCGCTGACAATGGCCTGGGGGCCCAGCGCAGCAGAGCAGTGCACCTCTCCGTCATCGGTAAGTCCTAGATTCTGCCAATCACCCAGCCCTGGCCTCTCTCACCAACCCCGCCACAAATGCATTCCGACCTTCCAGTTTCCTCTGCTTCTTTCTCAGGCTAACCCCATGTCCTTCGAGACTCCCTGGCTCACTGAAACAGCTGTTGGCTGCTTTCGAGCCTCGTTCCTTGAGCCGCCCAGGTGCCACTACTCCCCTGACTGTCTGCACAGCACTTTCTCTCTCCTGGCCCCCAACCTTTGAGGAGCCAAATGCTTTTCTCTTTCTCTCCACTTGTCTGTGAATCCTCAGATGCCTGATTTTTATTTAGTAAACTGTTCTCAGTAGCTACAAAATCAGTTCCCAGGGGCACAGAGGTGTCTCCTGTCCCTTTAATATCAGATATTGATCATGAACAGTGTACAAAACCATGTAAGATACAAAGACAGGTAGCAGGGTCACAGTTACTCAAAAGGTGTCCCTCTCGCTTAAGCACTTTTGGAGTTGCTTAGGCAATAGTGGGAGGGAGAAATAGACAGGGAAGCAGTTGGAAGCAGGGCAAGAGAGAGCCTCTCGTGAACAGAGATGACTTCACTTCTGCTTGCTAAGCCTGATACCTCAAAAGCCATGAAGGGAATTGTCAACCAGTTATGAAGTTAAGTAGTTTCTGTTGAGCCTTGAGTCTCAGTTTTGTGCATCTATGTACAGCCAAATTCCAAGCCCAGTTTTAGGGGACAGTGTGATTTGGGCTTGTACTAGTGGAAGAGAGTACAGTCCCGGCTGGTTCTGGAAGCAGCCTTGATTTCCTCTTCTGTAAAAAAACAAAATCAAGCTGGAGACAAGCTAAAATCTAGCCCCTCCCACAATAGATGTGCAAAAGAATGTAAAGCAAAAGATCAGAAAAATCTGGAGGGAGACATCAAATGAGAGAGATAGAGAAACTATGCTTCTGAATCCAGAGGCCCAAGGAAATTGGAGTCAGTAACATTATTATCAAATGCTCTCAGAGATGTATAAAGTTCTATGCAATGACTCATTTATTCACCTATTAAATAATTGTTGTGTATATGCTGTATGCCAGGCTCTACTGCTGTCCAAGGATGCATCAGACTAGACCAACATGGCCCTGTGTACACAGTGCTTAGGGTCTAAGAGCAGATGTGCATGAGCAAGAGGGCAAACACCAATCCAAGGGAGAGAAGTGCCAGGAGGCTGTGGGGCAAATGGGAGAGCACCTCAACCTGAGTGGGGAGCTGAGAGGACATTTCTTAGAAGAGTTCATGTGTGAGTTGAGACCTGAAGGTGAATAGAAACATTCCAAGAAAAGGGAGAGGTTGAGGAAGGAAGAAAGAGGCTGTGTTCCAGGTTGAGTCACGTGCTAAAGAACCGTGGTGAGGGAAGGAAGAAATGTTCAAGGAACTGGAAGGAGATCTTTTCTCATTGACCGCAACATAGAGCGAAATGGTTGGAAGGGGTAGGATGAGGTGGGGGAGGGAGGCAGGCCCAGGTTATTAGGACTTAGAAGCAGTGGTAAGGGCTTGGGCTTTATTCTTAAGGGTAATCTGAGGTCTGTGAAGGATTTTAATACTGGGGAACCTCACTCCAGTCGCAGGGTGAAGAATGGATGGTAGAAGGGCCAGTCTGGGGAGCAGCCAGGAACAGAGGAGATGGACTAAGAGGAGAGTGCACAGTCAGACAGGACCCCAGGCCAGCCTCTGCTGAGAAGGAGGGACTCTGAGAGGGATTGTGGCTGAGAGGAGAGACACTATGAAAGTGTGTACCACAGAAACCAAAGGACAGAGAGTTTTAAGCGAAAGATAGCAGGCTAATTCAGATAAGGCAGAGCTGATAGATGAGGAAAGCTAAGAACAGGGCCACCTCTCCTGAATTTAGTCACAAAACACTGAATACAAAAGCAGAAGAACACAAATGAGTACTGGAATACCGGGGTTTGACTGCTGGCTCACCACTTACTAACTGTGCAATTTATCCCCTTTGGGCCTCAGTTTCCTCATTTGTAAAATAGTGACAATAATAGTACCTGCCTCATAGGATTATTTTGATAGTTAAATTAGTGTCTGCATACATCTATTTACAAATTATATATGACAAATACACATACACCAGACATATTTAAAAGCACTATATTATCATTATAAGTATCTATTATTATTACTATAATCATCATTATAATCATAAACATGAAAAATCAACTTTAGTAGATTGTTGGGGATAAAAACCAAGTTGTAATGGACAAAAAAATAAATATGAGGTGCAGAAGTAGAGACAATAAATGTAGGCCACTTTTTGCAGAAGTCTGTCCACAGAAAAGAGAAAAAAGGGATGATAGGGAAAATTAAATGCAGATAGCATTGTCTTGGTTTGTTTTGTTGTTTTTCTAATGTGGAGAGAGTTAAATGCATCTAAATGGTGTTTGGAAGAAGCCAATAGAAGCAGAGAATTTACATCCAAGACAGAGGGAGCTGAGCTCAGGGTCAAGGAAAGGAAGAGTACTCCTTGGGTGAGAACAGGAACAGCTCTTCCAGGGTCCCTGGGCAGAGGGGAGGAGCAAGGGGCTGACATAGGTAAGGGTGTGAGTCTGATGGCAGCAAGATAAAGGACTTCTTCTTCTGGAAAACAGGAGAGAGGTCACCTAAAAAGGGGAGATAGGTGAGGGTAAGGGGTCAGAGGTCTGAGGGGAAAGGAAAAGATCAGCATGAGGACAGGAGAGAGCTGCTGAGAAAAGCCTGGGAGGCAGCTGGTCCACCCTGAGGCCAGTGGAGATGAGATGAGACATTTCACTGGCCGCAGGTTGAAATCTACGTAAGTGGCAGAAGCAACTGTTAACTAATTTTTTCTCTCTCTCAGTTCCAGTGTCTCATCCTGTCCTCACCCTCAGCCCTCCTGGGCCCTGGGCTGTTGAGGGAGATTTGATGACACTTCACTGTGTAGCCCAGAAAGGCTCTCCCCCAATCCAGTACCGGTTTTATCATGGGGACGTCACCCTGGGGAGCAGTTCAGTCCCGTCTGGAGGAGGAGCATCCTTCAGCTTCTCTGTGACCTCAGAGCTCTCTGGGAACTACCACTGTACAGCTGACAATGGCTTTGGTTCCCATAAAAGTGAGGCCATTAGCCTCTCTGTCACAGGTAAGCCCTGGATTCCTGCCAGTCACTCATTTCTGATGCTACCTGCACCAACCCTTTCAGAAGTCTGCGTGAACCTTTCAGTTTCCTACCCAAATCAACCTAATGTCCCACTTGGCTCCCCTCTCATAGAACCAGCTGTCTGTGGGCCTCAGTCCTCATCCAGCCCTGGCTCAGCCAGACTGCTAAGATAGCTCAGTACATTCTCCAGCTTTTAGCAAATGAATGTATTTTCTCAAATTATCTTCTCATGCCCTGTATGTTCATTTCCCAAGCCAATTTCTCTTAACTCGATGTGTAGAAACATCTCATATTTCCCCACTAACTTACATATTAACTTAGCTACAAGCGTAGTCATGTGGACAAAGCGTGGGCAAGACCTTACTTTCTCCAAGGAGTTCCCAAGCAGTTCCAGCTCTCATAGTAGGTTTGGAGAGGGCTGAAGGTGAAGGGAAGGGAGGAAATGGCTTCCTGGGAACCAGCTCCTTGGTTTTCTGGGGTTTCTATGATGCCTTGTCTTAATCCATTAAACTAAGTGCCATTTTATTATATTATGTTTTTAAAAATTTTCTTGAAGTATGACATACATTCAGAAAAGTGTACAAATCATAGACATACAGCTCATGGTTACCCACGTAACCATCAAAAAACTGTCATTTTAGGAGTGAAATTGCTCCTGTTTACACTTGGATCTTTGTTTAGTAGAGTGGACGTTTAGTTTTCTTTTCACTGAAGCAGGAGTATGATAGAAAAATCTTGAGTCTGGTTTATTACAACATTTTACATCACTAGAAAACAGAGACCCTGGGACCGGCCCCATGGCCAAGTGGTTAAGTTCATGCGCTCCGCTGTGGCGACCCAGGGTTTCACCAGTTCGGATCCTGGGCGTGGACATGGCACTGCTCGTCAGGCCACGTTGAGGCAGTGTCCCACATGGCACAACTAGAAGGACCTGCAACTAAGATATACAACTATGTACCAGGGGGGATTTGGGGAGATAAAGCAGAAAGAAAAAAGAAAAGAGATTGGCAACAGTTGTTATCTCAGGTGCCAAGCTTTAAAAAAAAAAAATAAAGAGATTGGCAATGGTTGTTAGCTCAGGCACTAATCTTTAGGAAAAAAAAAAAAAGAAAACAGAGACCCCAGGTGTCCCCAGTGAGTGACGGTTTGCTGTAATGATATCAAGGCAGTAAGAAAAACAAGAAAGACAGCATATCTAGATTCATGGAATGAGAACTGAGAGATCTCTCAGGATATAATTTATTTCTCAAAAACAGATTATATTGATCCCTGATGAGCCTAGAAGCTTCCATTACGCTCTACTCATAGGCCCATCAACTATTTTCTTTCTATGTCCTTTTGTCCCATTGCCCATGTGGCTCCTAAGTGCTCTCCACTCTCGTTCCCTCTATCTCATGACTTCTTTTTACTCAAAGCTTCTGCTGACCCCAGCATCAACTGCCTTGGGCTTATGGGTATAATTACTTGCTAACTAGTGGTTCTAACTAGTCTAGTGGTGGTTCTAATAGTCTAACCAGTAGGGCAGCCTAGCCTATAAACAACATCCCAGGCCACTGGAAAGTCAATACATGGGTTGTTCTTGAATGAACTGCCCACCTCTAGTTCAGCAAATTATGGACAAGACAGCAGAGTCACTTGGGAGAACATGACACATAATGAACTATGTTTAAGAAAATACTTTTTTAGGGTAATAAAAAAAAGCACAAGGCACAGGAGGAACTCTGAGTTTTCCTAGAAAAAAACAACGTATGTGAAAAACACATTGCCTGGGTTGTCTGATAGAAGCATGGGTCAGAAAACCTGAAATCCAGCTCTGGCTATGAAAATAGCTAGTTCATAATTTGGGCAAAACATTTAAACTTTCTTTGTCTTACTGTTTCCACTTATTGAAAGTTAGATAATAATTAGCATCCTTCTAGCCCCAGAATTCTGGAATTTGAGCTGGAACAGCAACCCAAAGACCAGGAATCTACAAAGCTCTGGAAGAAATGAGGCAAGAAAGAGGCTGAGAAGCATTTGTCAAAGCCCTGCACGAGACTACAGGGACCCTGTGTGTGCTGCAGAACTGGGCTCCCCTACTTGGCAGAGCAAGAGAGAGCATCCTTCTGACAGAGTCTCATCCTGGCTCACAGGGAGAATTAGGGGAGGTATATATAGGGTTTCAGAAGTGGAAATTAGTCAGTGTGATGTAACCGGAAGTGTGGTCTGGTCAGAATTTGTCAACTAGGTGAGTTGCAGGAACAGTCTGTGGTCTTGGGAACACAGGAGTCCATTTGGAATTCCTATTACTATGGTCTTGTCTTGGAACATATGAATCTGAAGGATCACTTGCTCCTTGATAGCTCCTGTTTCAGACCATGGAAATCAAGAATGACCAAAGGAAGTCCTTCCCCAAATAAATTGCTGGGTAAAGAGATTATTTAAGAAAATCAAATGTTCTGAGACCCAGACTCCAAAGCCAGAACCCAGTCTATCTAGGAAAGCCCCAAGCCCTAAGGCATCCTCTATCCCATTATCATCTTTTATTTTCTTCTCGAATTTAGCAATATCTAAAACCTCCTTATTTCCTGTTTCTTGTCTGTCTGCCTCAATACCAGAATGTAAGCGTCATGAGGATGGAACCTCCTCAGCTTTGGTCCCCTCTACATCCCTGTGCCTGCTTGGTGTCTGGCACAGAGGAAGTCCTCAGTCAGCATTTGCAATTCAATGAACGAAAGGTCTTTGAGGTGAGATGAGGAAGAGAAGAGCAGGGAAAGAACACTGATCTTTGCATCTGCTTGTATCAACTGGACAAATAAATGAGCTCTAAATTAGCAAACAAGTTGTCTGTGAGCTGAAAAGCTTCACTGTGAGCCAGGCAGGCTTTCTGGCAGAATAATCTACTTTATTTGAGGGAATGCACCCCAAAGAAAAGACACAGAGATTTCACAGAAATGTGTTCTGATTCTATATACACATTTTGACTCTATCAACAGCCCTGGGTCACTGAAATACACACCCACACCCCCAAAACACAATCTCACAGCATTCTCAAGCAGATGAAAGACTCTGAATATAACTTTATTTATTGAAGGATAAGCTATAAACAAAAAAACTGCGATAGAGGAATCTTTGCATTGATGCATTTAAAATTATAAAAGGGAAAGAAAGGACACATAATACACAATACTTTTAAGTAGAATTGCTGTGGGAAATAGAAAAAAAAATTCTTCTGGATATTCTCAATACAGTTAACGAAAATGTGAACTCCAGAAAAAAAAAAAGTACAAACAGAAATTTTAAGATTAAATAAGATATGATAACAGAAGAGAATAAAAACTTATCTAGTGAAGCTCAAAAGAAAAACCAAAGAAAATAAAGTTATTTTAGAAATGAAATCCAAATTTGAAGCAGTAAGAATAGCATGTATACTTCTGAAAACAGTTAATTGAATGAAGAATTGGATTGAGAAAATAGTACAGAACACACAGTTGCAAGACACAGAAATAAAGGCAAAAAGAAAAAAAATTTAAATATGGAGATCAGACAATGGAGACCCCATTGTGTGGATAATTAAGCGTCTCTAAGTTAGAAAACCAAACTGAAGAGAGAAACAAAGCTCAAAGTTGTAACAAAAATTTTTCCTGAAGTGAAGAAAACTTTAATATGTAGATGAAAAGACATATCCTCGTGTGGTATTGACTTTCAAGGTTAAAAATATATGTGTGTGGAGCCAGCCCTGATGGCCTAGTGGTTAAATTTTGGCGTGCTTGTCTTCAGCAGCTTGGGTTCAGTTCCCAGTTGTAGAACCACACCACTTGTGTGTCAGTAGCCATGCTGTAGGTGGGGCTCACACAGAAGAACTAGAGGGACTTACAACCATACACAACTATCTTGGGGCTTTGGACAGGAGGAAACAAGACAGAGAGAGGAAGATTGGCAACAGATGTTAGCTCAGAGCAAATCTTTCTCAGCAAAAATAAAAGAAGTGTGTGTACATATGATTGTGGCAAAAGAAAAAAAAGCCGTCATCTCAGAAAGAAAAACTATCAGGTTTGTCTTAGACTTTCCACAGACTTCAGTGCTAAAAGAAAGAGGGGGTGGTGTCCAGACTTGCACTTTCAGGGGAGGAATGAGAACTGAGAATTTTACGTCAAAGCAAAAAGGCGTTCTGAAACATGCAGAGACTCAGGTACCCATTAACCCTTCCTGAAAAAATTACTTGATGACAAAATCCAGGCAGCCAAGCTATGAATCAATTTAAAAGCCTCGAAATGAGCAAATTGTGGTATGAAATATGAGTACTGAATCTATTTAAATCAGGAGTTCTCAGCCCTGGCTGCATATTAGAATCACCTAGGAACTGAAAAAAGACTTATTGGTAAACCCTCTCCAGACCAATTAAACTCAGAGTCTCTCAGATGGGGCCTTAGAATCCATATTTTTTAACTCATCCTCGGACAAGACTATTGTTCAGATGAGGTTGAAAACCACTGATTCAGATATCAAAACAAACGCTAATCAACTGTGAAAATTACAGTTACAGAATAGAAAGTAACTATTATAAATACTGAAAATGTAAAAAAATATACGAAAAAAAAACTGTGGGTCAGAGGGAGAAGAAGAAATAAAAGAACAATAATTTTCTCATAATTATTATTATTTCATAGAGGAAAACAAAGAAGAATTGACTTGATAATTTTGAAAAATTAATGATAGATTTCAAAATTTCCATTTTGCAAATTGTTTGAATTCTTTACAGACAGTAACTCATCATTAGTGGATTATAGTTCACTAGTCGTCCATGAAAAGTCAAGTAATAGACTGTAGGGTCACTAAAGTGACCTGTTCATATGGAAAGAGTGAGTGAATTGCTCAGATGGAGCAACTGTAGAGTTTAGGACTAGCAAAAGAGAATAAGTAATAAAAATAAACCTCTACATTTATATGACTATAATTGACCAGCGAATGGGGAAATAGAAACTCATATACCATTAGTGCAAGTGTAAATTGGTCCAAACTTCTCGAAAAACATTTTAGCATTATATATCATTATTTGAAACGCCCTTATCCCTCATGCCAGAAATTCCACCTCTAAGAATTTGTTATAAAGAATGCATGAACAAATATACGATGATATAGATACAGGATTGTTTCATGTGGCATTGTTTGGTTAGAAAACAGCAACAACTTCAACATCCATTAATGGGGAATTGCTTAAGTATATTATGGTAAATCCATACAATGGAAGGCTTTGTGATTGTTAAAAATAATCAAGGAATATTTAACCCAAATTATCAAATTGTAAATTTAAGAGAGTTGTATTTTATTGTGTGTAAACTATATGCTAATAAAGCTGATTTTTAAAAGTGAGTGAGATAGATCTTTAAGTAATAACATAGAAAGATGCCCATGATATGTTGCTAAGGGGAAAAATCTTGTTGTAGACCAGTATGCATATTGTGATCCCATGCATGTGTGTGTGTTTTAGTGTATTTATTTGTGTGTTGATATGAGTGAGTGTTCTTATACATAGGAAGATCTAGAAAGTGTCACCTAATACTCAACAGAGATAGTCTCTGGAAAATGAAATTTAAAAAATAGGAAAAGATATTGCTGTCAACTAACTCATTTTTGCCCTCAGTTCCAGTGTCTCGCCCTGTCCTCACCATCAGGACTCCCAGGGCCCAGCCTGTGGTTGGGGACATAGTGGAGCTTCACTGTGAGGCCCAGAGAGGCTCTCCCCCAATCCTGTACCAGTTTTATCATGAGGATGTCATCCTGGGGAGCAGCTCAACTCCCTCTGGAGGATCTTCCTTGAGCCTCTTTCTGACTGAAGAACATTCTGGAAAATATGCCTGTGTGGTCAGCAATGGCTTGGGGTCTCAGCGCAGTGACACAGTATCACTCAGTGTCAGAGGTAAGTTGACCCTTCTAACTATAGCACACCAGGAACACACCATCTCTCCATCTTGCCCAGTAGCCAAGATTGGAGGTGCCATAGGGCCATTTGCTGTGTGACATCATAGCAGGCCTCCATCCAGGAGTTCTGGATTCTACATTTCCAGGAAATGGCAGCTTTCCTTTGCTTGCTATGCCTTTCCTGGTAGCAACAGTGCAGCCATTATGACCAAACTCCCCTAACATAGGAATAAAGGCCTTAAAATCACAAATTATGTCCTGGTCAACCATGATCAGCAAGAAAGGAAATTAAGAAGTTCAGCATGTCTCACCTCAGAAGAGATTTAGTCGGGGCTTCCACTGTCTGTCAATCAATCAAAAGGCCAACTCATTGTCTCATTGGCTCATGAATTTCTCTCTAGCTTCTCCTGCCCCTGCCCCACAGCAGCTCAGCACCTGACTGAGAACTCTTGTTAAAAGACTTCCCAACATAATTCTCCTGACTTCTTACATGTCCTTAATCCACTCAGCTAAAGCACTTTTTCCCACCTGGCCCTGTCATAAGCTGACCTCCAGGTCATGTTCGCTTGCCCACATGCCCAGGCTCGTAGTCTATGTTGTCTGTACCCTACATTCTGCCATCATTCCATGACTCTAATGTCCACATGGATGATCCACTCAACACCATGGCTGTGTCATCCTCTCCACATCAGCCACTCACTCTCACATACACACAACACTCCAATTATCTGACCACAACCTCCTATCCTTCTACCTGGTTCTTCAACTCCTCCAATCACTATTCTTCTCACATCTCAGAAGAACCACAGTTCATTAACACCTCTACTCCCTCCCAGACAATGACACCCTTGACTCCCACCACAACTTTGAATGTTTGTCACTGTATCCATCTGGTAACTCACCCCTCCTCTTCCTAAGGTATGAGGGAACTCTGTTCCCTATGAAAGGTCAAGATCTCCATCTGATCTCTAGATTCAACCCATTCTTGCATTCTCAGACACTTTGTATAACCAATTATCACTTTCTCTCCTATGTCCCCCAACATCTGCCTCTCTACAGGATCCTTCCCATTGACATTTAACATGCTACATCTCTCCCATGTCTAAGAAAAACTCTCACTTGATCTTACTTATGACTCCAGCCACAGCTCTATTAAGGCTAAGTTTCTAAAAAAAAGTCAACCACACAGGTTGTTGTCTCCATTTCCTTATTACCCACTGGGTTATAATACATTGGTTTCTCCTGACCTTTCTACAAAAATGGTTCTCACAAGGGTCACCAATGGCCTCCAGGACTTTAAATCCAATGGCCATTTTCTACTCCTCATCTTACTTGCTTTCTCCGAAGTAACCCGTGTTGTTTACCTTTTCTTCCTTCTTGAAATCCGCCCTTCATTGGCTTCATTGACCCCACTCTCTCCTGGCTCTTGTCTCTCTGCCCCTCCTTCTCAGTCTCCTTTACTGGCTCCTCCTTGTATAGACAAACTAAGCATTGATGTGTTCCCGAGCTTTGTCCTATGTGCACTCTCTTCTCATCTATGTTTTCTTCTCTGGATGATCCTGAGGATGTCATCTATAAGTGATTCCTAAACTATCTCCAAAGGAGACCTCCCACTTAAGCACCTGCATATGCCAAATCTCCACTCAAATAGCCTAAAAGGCTCTTGAGCCTGAACATTTCTAAAACTAAATTCATGGTATTCCCCCAGACCTGTTTCTCCTCCAAGCGTCCCTACCTTTGTGAAGACACAGCCATTCATCCAGATATACAAGGCAGAAACCTAAGAGTCTTCCTTGACATTTCTCTCCCTTACCCTCCACAGCCAGTTAATCATTAAGTCCTGCTGATTTGTCTTCCTAAATATTTCTTGGATCTTTTCTTTCTATCTCTACTGCCACTCTCATAGAGAAACCTACCATCATTTCAATTATACTGCAATTCCACATCTCCACTCCACTTCTGTCCCACTGCAACCCATTTTGCAGACTGACGTTATAATGGTCTTAAAAAGACAAATTTGATCATCTCATGCCCCTGTAGTGAGACATTTAGAGACTTCCCCCTGCTCCCTGAAGAAGGATCAAAATCCTCACTGTGGCTCCTGAAGCCCTGCCTAGCTCTCCAGCCTCCTATTTCATGGTAGTCTTCAGACCCTTCTGTTCAGACCCTTAGTGCTGCTATAACCTTGTTTCCATAACTCAAAAGTTCCAACTTTCTTCCTGACTGAGAACCTTTGCCCATACTGTTTGCCTGCCTGGTGCATTCTTTACTTCCCTCTTCACCTGGCTAATTTCAAATATCACTTAATGAGGAAGCATTTGCTGACTAACTCATACTAGATCAAGTCCTAGTATTATACATTTCATAGCACACTATTCTTTATTTCATATCAATTATCAATGTTCTAATTCTATATTTGTATTTTTATTTAATTGCTGCCTACCATCTCTTCTAGATTATAGGCTTCATGAGACTGGGGACTGTGTCTTTCTCATTATTAAAACCCCAGCAAGTAGTACAGTTATTAATTGCTCAATTATTTGTAGAAGGATGAATGAATATGAAAGTAAGCAAATGAAATAATCAATATTCGTTCTCTTTTGGGCCTCATTTCTGATGTGACCCAAGGTCAGTTTCTTCCCTGGCCATGTTGGCAACGGGTCTCTCCTGGTCCTTATTTTCCATTGAGCTGATTTCTCCTTTTCCCCGGTTGTCTTTTGAGTTCTCAGTTATCGAGATTCAATTTAATCTTTGTTTTCAGATTCCCCAAACACATTTGAGATTGTGCCTCCAGGTACTCCAAACTCTATAGAGCACAACACAAATGTTGTTTCTTCCAATCTGAAGAAATTATAGCTGAGTCCTGAGTGGTGTCACAAGGTCACTAAAAACTGAGAAAAGCATTTCCCTGTTTGAAATGTCTTTCCTATGGAAGAGCGTAGTTAAATAGTAGGAAGTGATAATTAACTATTTTTTTCTCCTTCAGTTCCAGTGTCTCACGCTGTCCTCACCCTTAGGGCTCCCAGGGCCCAGACTGTGGAGGGGGACATGGTGGAGCTTCACTGTGAGGCCCGGAGAGGATCTCCCCCCATCTGGTACCAGTTTTATCATGAAGATGTAACCCTAGGGAGCAGCTCGGCCCCCTCTGGAGGAGGAGCATCTTTCAACCTCTCCCTGACTGCAGAACATTCTGGAAACTACTTCTGCAAGGCCAACAATGACCTGGGGGCCCAGCACAGTGAGGTGGTGACATTCAATGTCTTGGGTGAGTTGGTCTTGCCAATCAGCAACAAACAAGGACTGACTGCCTTCTTTCTCCAGCAGCTGAAATAGGGCTCCAGCACTCCCGCCTGCTGCTGTGAAGTACCCTAGCAGACCTCCTGCCCACAGAACCTCCATTTGGAAGTCTAGCATCTTTCCTGTGGTTTTGGTTTCAGGAACCTTGCCCTTCCAAGCAGCACAATTCAAGCAGTTTTCTTGAATATGTTCAAAACTCCTCACTAAAAATGCAAAGAAGACTTTCTTAGAGCATAGACTATATTCTGATCTGCAGTTATGATACAAAAGGGAAACTAAAGAATTTTGAGTATGGGTGTCTCTGTTCCAGAAAAGGTTTGGCCATTCCTTGTCTAGGTTTTTCTCTCACTGACTCCCAACAAGTCATTCTCTTGAGCTTCTTTCATTACCAGGGATGTAAATAGGCCTCACATTTCTATAATACAAATTCACTATTTACATTAGCTGTGTGCATATCCTTTCAGGAGATACAATCAGTCCAAGTTAGTTTACAAAGTGATAGGTGCACAGGGGACCAGCATAGAGAAAGTAAGAGCAGGAGGACATGGAAGGGAAATGTCCACCTACCAATTAAATTCCTTCATTCTCTAAGCTGTCATTTTACCACTTGCTTTTAAGTGTGATATCCAAAGGAAAACTGCTTCTCATGAGCTCTGTATCTGTTTTCTGATGATCCCCTACGAGCCAAACCTCCAAACTCTTGTTTAGAGAGACCAGGGGTGTATCAAAAGTACGCTAACAGCTTGAGATGAATGTTCTAGTCTTGGCTCTGAAGATAACAAGCTGTATGACCTTGGCCAAGCATATTTCCTTATATTGACCTCAATTGCCTCATCCACATAGTGGGAAAATCAGACTCGATTGATATTATGGTTATCCCCAGCCTTAGAATTCTATGATTTTGGTGCACAGAGAATATGGAGTATTTCAAACTCAAAGGTTCGTGGAAAGAGACATGCAGAATCAAAAGCTGGGAGTCCCTGCTCCAGGGATACACCCCAGAGAAACAGGAGACCATGAAATGGCATGCAAATACTCTCTGAGATACGTAAAGCAAGATACAGACTGATCCTCTTAGTTTCTCTTGGCTGGGTCCCTGGGTATCCTAAGGAATAAAGACAAAGTCACAGGAGCAGGTTGATTTGGGGATGCCAGCTCAGGATTCAGCATCTCATCAAGGTGACCACTGCAGCCACCTCTTTATCATCTAGGGGGCCACTTGATTTCAGATTTGATTTCTTCCATTCAACCAGTTCCTTCTTCTCTCCCTACTGGCAAGAAGCATCCACCTCAGCCAATTTTCCTCTGAGATTCACAGGGACTCTTACTACGTGGTTACACACCTATTAAATCCACCACGCCAGCATGCACCACTGACCGAGTGCTGCTCCCTCTCTCTTCACAACACAGTGGACCAACAAGTCATCCCTCCTACACTCTGTATTCATGCTTTTCTGCTCATCTCTGCTCCTTTGTTTCTATGATGGCTTGGTACAAATGTATATTATTTCTGCTGCTAACGCACCTAAAGGACTTCTTGCCCAGCCTAAATGAATTGTATCTGAGTCCTAGAACTAGGATACGGATCGTGGAGAACTACCAGACAAAGGAATATTTCCCGTTATCATTGTCACCACAACCACCACCACCAGCATCATCATCATTGTCATCATTAACACTTACTGGGCCCTCACATGTGCCACACCCTGTGCTTGAGACACACAATAATCTTTAAGATAAACCAGTGAGGATCAAAATGAAATCAATCATCTTTATCCCCAAGTTTCAGGAGAGGAAAGTGAGGCTTGGAGATGTGAAACAACTTGCTTACAGACACAGCTGGCAATGGCAAAGCCCACTTGAAACATGGGCTTATCCAACTCTTAACATATGACATTTCTTCATCCTTTGTGGCCCCTTTTAACACAACATTTTAATTTTTAATAATTATTCTGAAAGAATACATAAATCTTCATGATAAAAATATCAAATGGTACAAAAAGGACAATATGGAAAGTAAAGGTCTCTTTCTACCTGCATCTACACACTTTCATATCCACAAACTTCCAAGACATAATCACTGTTAATAGTTCTGTGTATATTTCTAGAAATGCTTAAATATATTATAAACATAAAGGCATAGAATTTTTCACAAAAGTAGGATCATATTACACATGTAGTTATGCTACTTACATTTTTCACTTAAAAATACATCTTGACTTTAGTTTAAAAAAGTACACTTTTGATATCTTAACTCTTTGATATATTTTATTAGTCAGTCAATTAGGTTATTTCTACTTTTTAGCTAGTATAAAAATTCTACAATAAAAATCCTTGGGGGACAGCCCCGTGGCGTAGTGTTTAAGTTTGGCACTCTCCTCTTTGGCAGTGCAGGTTCACGAGCTGGGATCCCTGGCACAGACCTACACCACTCATCAGCCATGCTGTGGCAGTGATCCACTTATAAAGTAGAGGAAGACTGGCACAGATGTTAGCTCAGGGATATCTTCCCCCGGGGGGGAAAACATCCTTGTGCAAATATATTTGGATACCTTATATCAGTGTCCCTAAAGGAAATAGCCTTAGAAGTACATTTTCTGGGTCAAAGTTTATGTGCATTTAAATTTGGTAGATATTGCCAAGTTGGCATTCAAAGAAGTGTATCAAATTTGCATTCCTACCTACAGCACATGGAAGTGCCTGTTTATCTACAACCTCATCAGCATTAGCTGTCTTGTTAAACTTTGCCAATCCAATGGGTGCTTTTATTTGTATATACTTAATTAGTAATGAAGATGATAATCTTTTTACATATTTATTGACTATTTGAAGTTTTTAGTGGTCCACACCCCTTTCATGCTTTTCTGTTGTAAATTTTTGTGCACTGAGGGCTATTTGTATGTTAAAATCAATAGCTTTGTCTGTCATATGTGTTTAAATCTATTTTCTGAAATTGAGATCTGACTTTTGCCATTTGTTTATAATATTTTTTGATCCTTTCCAAATATAGTCAAAGTAGGAACTCCCATTGATTTTTTGTCTCCCTCAGTTCCAGTGTCTCGCCCTGTCCTCACCCTCAGGGCTCCCAGGTCCCAGGCTATGGTGGGGGACATGGTGGAGCTTCACTGTGAGGTCCAGAGAGGCTCTCCTCCGATCCTGTACCAGTTTTATCATGAGAACGTCACCCTGGAGAGCAGCTCGGCCCCCTATGGAGGAGGAGCATCCTTCAACCTCTCTCTGACCACACAGCATTCTGGGAACTACTCCTGTGAAGCCAACAATGGCCTGGGGGCCCAGCACAGTGAGGCAGTGACGCTTTCCATCACAGGTAATTTTCCTATGCCCAAGCACCAGATGAGGACAGAACATTTCCTCCAAGGATAATCTGATAACCGTCCTGATGCTTGACCAGGACAGTCCTTATCAGGGACAGGTACACAAGGCTGGCAGTTCTCTAAATTGTTGTTTTATGTAGTGTTTCTGAAGTGATAGTACTTCAGTGGGAGAGAGGGGCCAAAGAGGATCATTGCATTTAATGCCTGTCTGCTGGCACTGTCCATCCTGACCTTCACCCATTGCCTCAGCAGCAGAGATGAGCTTCCTCACAAAGAGAAGAGCCATTTCCTATTCTACACCAGAATCCTCTCTCCCATGCCCAGGCATCAGCTCTGACCCAGGGGAAGGGGCAACCCAAGGCCACAAACCTCTCTCTCTGGCTCATGCACAGGGTTTGCTTTTCAGGGCTGACAGGGAGCAGAAGCGGCCCTGTCGCCACAGGTGTCACCGGTGGACTGCTCAGCCTGTTGGGCCTTGCTGCTGCGGCACTGCTGCTCTATTACTGGCTCCCAAGAAAAGCAGGTGGGTAACTCCTTGACTAAACTGTGCTTCAGTCCATGCCCTTCCCATCTCCATTCCCTCAGGCTCCTGCTGCCTTTGTAACCGCCCCCAAGCTCTCAACAGCTCCTCCCACCACTGTCCCACAGTCCGCACTTTCCCTCTAGGTACCCCAGAATTTATCTTTACCAAACACAAAGTTTCCAAAGCAACCCTATCGGGCAGAAGATGACTTGATGAGATGTAGTTTATTCAACATCATAAACTGTGGTGTATCTCCTTCTCTCCTCTTACAAGATTCCCTAAGAATGGGAAGAGGAGAAGAAAGACTCTGAGAAACAGGAGTGAAAACAGAAACCAAATGAGGTTTGATAAGTTACTGACTTTTAAATGTCCAGTATTTTCATAGCTGAACAAGTGTATTTTCCCAACCGGAGCTATTGACCGTCGTTCTTTACAAACTCCAGGTTGAAGGATATGGATTGTGGGCTCCCTTTTCACATTAGAACTCTACCCCTCTGGAAGCCAGGGTCCATCGTCTTTGCCCAATCTGCCACCTCCCTTGGGCATAGCAAAGAAGGGTTCACACTTTAGTGACAGTGACTCCTGGCAGGCTCTAGGTGAGCCTCCTACAAGCTGTGCTCCTTGTGAAGTCCTCCTTCTTCCGGATCTAATGCCCCTTTGCTTTCCTTTGCAGGAGGAAAGTCTAACTCCGACCCTTCCAGGTAAGAGCTAGGCTGTATTCCTGTGTGGTTAATAAAATGCCTTCAGGGCATAAAAATGGAATTTAGTGTGGTTACTGCTGAGAGCACAGTCACTGCTTTGTGTCGCTGAGATGGGTTGTGCCAATTGTATGTTGTCATCTCCCTTGGGATATCTCAAGGAAATTCCCAGGACCTTCTTACCCACTGCCTTAGCCACATAGGCCTTTTGCTTGCATCAAATGTTAATTGCTTTTTTTTCATTAACTTAAATGCTTGTACCATTGTTCCCTTGGTTGTCTGAGTGATCACTATGACCACCGAATCCATCCATGTTCAAAGATGATCTTAGCTTAACGAGCCTAGAAAGTCTGGACATGGCCAACCTAACCAATACATGTTGTGATGACAGCCAAGAGGATGGAATCACACAACTTGGCAACCAAGAGAAGCCACTCTGCCAACAGGACGTGGTGCCTGTGAAGAAGGGGCTGCCATCTTGGATCCCAAAGGCTGACTTTAGGAGCCACACCACAGCTCACAAACTATCCCTGGGCAAGCCCATGGTAGCAGTGTCCAAAACGTGCAGGGTTCCTCAGAGCCTTTCTAATCACTGATTTCTCTGAGATCCTCATCCCTCTGAGAGTGGAGGCTTTGGAGCCAGGTTTGAATATTGGCTCTATCCCTTTCTGGTTACATAGTGTTGAGCAAGTCACTTCACCTCTTGTAAACTCCATTTTTCTCATCTATAAATAGGGATAATGATAGAATCAACTTAATAGTGTTATAAGAACTAGCTCAGTGCCTGGTACATACCACACAGCCATAAAGTCTGGAAACACAGATAATATTAATTTATCGTGATTTGTAGTATAATATTCCATAAGAATGGGCCATTTGTTATGTAGTGATCTGTGTTTCCAGGCTTGACAGCCACCCTGTGGTAAAGACTCACTAACAGGGAACAATCATTATAGCTACTTTGTCAGGATTCCTGGGAAACATCAACGTTTCTGTCTCATAGGAGGCCTTCAAGCTCAGACTCCCAAGAGCCCACCTACCACAATGTGCCAACCTGGATAGAACTGCAACCAGTGTACAGCAATGGTGAGGAGCGGGGACCCTCCATTGGGCAGGGACCCCAGGGTTGATCCGGGAAGAGGTGGGACAGGAGATGAGGATGGGACTATACAGAGGCATGTAGGGCTCCAGTCCCCACAGAGGACAAGCTCTAGCTGGGGGAGGAGGAAGTAGCTCAGACAAGAGGCAAGAACCTTAGAATCCTCTCAAACTTCAACTTCTTTCCAAGTAAATCCTGAAGGAGAAGACGTGGTGTACACGGAAGTCCGGAGCATTCAGAAGGGAAACAAACATGCAGGTAAGACCTGAGGACCCTTGATTTTGACAATCCAGCCAATTGCTCAGTCTCCACCACTTCAGCAGGTCTGGGCCAGCCAGACACAGAGTCACCTCTCACGCTGGGTCCCTGGGCTTCTTAACTGGTGCCCACCCACACTGAGGTGTTGATCCAAGCCCATCACGGAGTGCTGCTTTCTCCATTCTCCTCAGATACCTAAGCATAAGCCAAGTCACAAGGCCATCACCTTGGGCAGTCACTTAACCTCCCAGAGTTTCAGTGTCCCCACCTGGAAAATGAGACAAAACTGTTATTCCCTCCCAACCTGTATCAGTTTGTTATTGTGCTGTGGCAAATGACCACAAACCTGGTGGGACTAAACAATACAAGTTTATTATCTTACCTTGCTGTAGGTCAGAGGTCTGACACAGGTCTCACTGGGCTAGAAACAAAGCGACAACAGGGCTGCATTCCTTTCTGGAGTCATCAGGGGAGAATGTATTTCCTTGCTTTTTCCAGCTTCTAAAGGACACCCCCTTCCGTCGCTCATGGCCCCTTCCTCCATCTTCAAAGCCAGCAAGGTTGCATCTCTCTGGCCATCTTCCCTGGTTAGGTCTCCCTCTGACCACAGCTGGGAGGAGTTCTCTGACTCTCAAGGCCTCCTTAAAACCCTACTCGGAAAATTTCAAGGTCCTTAATCTTAGTCACATCTGCAAAGCCCCTTTTCCCTTCTAAGGTCCCATTTTCGCACGTTCCAGGGATTGGGACATGGACATCTTTGGGAAGGGGGCACTATTCTGCCCACCACATCATCTCACAGGGTGACTGTGAGGGTCAAATGAGAAGACGAGGAGGAAATGCTATTACAACAGCGGTGTAGTAAGCAGCTTTGAGGATGACTCTATGCTGGTTGTCTGGCCGTGTTGTCATCTTTACTCAGGGTAGATGGTCCTTGGTAGTGGGTCCCAGCCTGGCTTCCTCCCACTAAGAGCAGGACAGTCTTTGGAACAGATGTCTTTCTAACTCTCCTCTGTAAAACGTGCTGTGTGATTTTAGCCATTCTGCTTCCCTCTCTGGTTTTCTGATCCCTCTTGTATAAAGTCAAATGGACCGTGTTTGTGCCCCATTCTTGGTTCAATGGTCCACATCTAACACATATGAACTCACTCACACTTACAACCCACTTTGAGATGAGGATTGTTATCATCCTCATTCTACAGATGAGGGAACTGAGGCAGAGAGACCTTAAATGACTGGCCAGAAGCCACATAGCTTGTAAATCACAGATGAATCTGTCTCCAGAGTCCAGGCTCTCGACCAAGCTCTGCTCCTCAGCGCAGCTCCAGGGAGCCTTCATGCTCCTTCCAGGTGAAAAGCGGAGAGCCCTGTTTGAAGAATGTCATATTTCACTCCAGTTTTAAGACAATATGGCAATAATCATAACTTCTAACATTGCATCAGTGTGTGTTGAGCAGTTCCTATGTGCTGGGTACAGTTCTGAGTGCTATAAATAAATACACTCTGAATATATGTGCCATAAATACATGCACACACATACATTTATAGTTTGTTTGTTGCTTATTTATAGCACTCAGAACTGTACCTGGCACGTAGGAACTGCGCAGTCATGACAGGTATTAGAAATCACACACACTCATAAACACATCAATTTACAATAACTCTGTAGGTAGGTGATACTATTATTCCCATCATATAGATGAGACAACTGAGGCAAGAGATGTAGAGTGACTTGCCCAGGAATGACACAGCCGGCCCAGGGCTCGGCCTGAGGTGGTATGGATCTCGAGCCCGCTCTCTAAACCACTGTCCTGCCTCGCTCCGGGCCAGGCTGCCTCTCCATGAACCGTGCTATGAATCTATGATCAAAGCACTAACAAGATAAAGGGTAGATTTTTTTTGAGAGCCCCTAGGGAGCTCCGGGTGGGGAACAAAGTGGGAAGTGCTGTTGAGGGGAGAGTTGGTCAAAGCCCTGAGGCTGAGGAGCTTAGGAAAGGTGCGGTGACAGCACAGCGAGAGGACGAAAGGAATGGCTGACGTCCCACAGAGGGCAAGGGGGCCCTGAGAGGCAGCTCTGTCTGGGCTAACAGCACAGAGCCAAGGAGAGAGCTCTGAGTGGGCCTTTCACAGCTGAACACTTCCCTTCTTTCCACAGCAGCCTCCACACCAGGGCTTCTCAAGAACTCGGTGAGTCCCGTGACCCGCGTGCCCTCCCGCCATGGGCCCGCCAGCCTCTGGCCTCACCTGTGTGCTCTTTCCCCCAGGATTCCTCTGTCATCTACTCCCAGGTGAGGGTGGCTTCAACTCCAGCCTCTCGGCCTCAGCTCTTGGCTTCCTCGGCTCCTCACCAATGAGTCCACATAGCTCCCTGACTGCTGTCTCAGCCTCTGCCCCCGAAAGCCATCCTTGGGGACGAGGGGGTCATCGAAGTAGGATGGCTTAAACTGCCCCAGGCCACATCCAGTGGCCTCTGTGTCAAGTGACCGCACCCTCAGTCTGACTAGAACACAAGGCTCTGCAGGACTCCTGCCTATTTCCCAAGTTACAGCCCTGCCCTCGTGGTCTTTGTGTCTAACGACATGTTGGTCCCAACCTGGGGCCCATCACATCCCCTGGCTTCCTTCGTGGGCTTCAGCTTAGGTCACTATTTTGAGTCCTACTTGCACACACACCCCCACCATTCCTCAATGAGGACTGCTCCTGTACTCCGCCATGGACATCTCAGTGGGTCCATTTCTCAACAGCCATCAGCCTGGTGGGCTACTGTGGTGCTCTGCCAGAAGGGACAGCACACACCCCTGGAGACACATACACTGGGCTTGTTATGGACCTCCCCATAATGGGAATGCATTTCACACTCCCCTGGCTGTGTGAAACTTTGAGGTCAGTACCTAATACCAGGATAAATTCTCTCCTGCCCATGTGCCAATATCTATCTGCCCAACTAAGTGGATTTCAGACCCCAGTTTCAAGATCCTTCCCATTCTGCCAGAAGTAACCCAGCACATTCGTGGCCAGGAGGACCAGGAATGCAGAGAGAAGGCATATTGGGATATAGGCCGTGATCTATTACTATTTAATTGAATGAGTGAATGAATGAGGAAGATACTCGGGATAATGATGAAGCATTCCTACCCTCTGACTAGTATTTGGCTCATGTGCTCCCTAGGAATTCCAGGGGGTACTCTTCTGTCTTCCCTGAGTACAAAATAAACTAAAAGAAAGAGTTTGAGTGAGGAAAGCTGTGTTCAGCCAGCGGGAAGCCTTCTCAAGTTTTAGTGTGCTTAGGGCTCAGCATGGGGATCTTGTTAAAATGCAGATTCTGGGGGCCGGCCCAGTGGCATACTGGTTAGGTTTGTGCACTCTGCTTTGGTGGCCTGGGGTTCACAGGTTCGGATCCCAGGAGCGAGCCTACACACCACTCGTCAAGCCATACTGCGGTGGCATCCTACATCCAAAATAGAGGAAGACTGGCATGGATGCTAGCTCAGGGACAATCTTCCTCACCAAAACAACAAAACAAAAAAACAGACAGATTCTGTGTCAGTTGGTTTGGGTGGAGGCTAAGACTCTGCATTTCTAACAAGATCCCAGGGGCTGCTGATGCTGCTGGTCCCAGCACCACACTGAGTACTGAGACCCCATAGGTCTTGGAAGAGGCCTGTGGAGAAGCAGCGTGAGCTTTGCCTGCCCACTGCCTAACTGCATGGGGGCCTTCACGCAGGGCACACTGCTCCCTCTGCTGTCCTTCCACTGGGACACCACCAGCTGCTGTTGCTGAGAGAACTTCTCTGCGACGTGTAGGACCTCATCAGCTACCCTGGGTAGAGGAAATGCAGCTGCCACCATCTTTGTTTCCCCTCCTCAGGCCTCACACTTTCCCCTGAAAACAGGGAGTGAATACACTGTGAATATGTACACCCCTCAGCCTTCTCCATGCAAAGTTGATCTATCCCACCCCTGCACCATGGGATGTTTTGCTCCACTTGTATGATACCCATCACACCTTATCTTGAGCTCCACTCTCCGATGGACTGTTCAGTGGGGGTCATTGCCCTGGAATAAAGTCTTCCATAGGACATTCAATGTCTTTCTCCACTGGTGCCGCCTACCTACCTCTCAGCCTCTCCCACCCTTGTTGCCCTCCACATTCTGCACCCAGTCAGGGAGTGAACTGCTCCATTCCCTAAAACAGACCCTCCATACTTCCTCCTCCTAGGAAGCCTTTCTTCGTCATTTCCGTCCACTGGAATCCTGCTCATTTTTCGTGCCCCAACTCAAATGTTAGCCCCTACCAGAGTTAACCCGTCTCTCCGTCAGGCTCCCCTACTACTTTTACACAATGAGACTTGGAGTCGCCAATGGTTGATGTTCTGAGAGAACTTAGAGTGTATCCAGGACAACTCTCTAGTTTTGTAGTTGGAACTTGAGAACCAGAAAGCAGAAGCAACCAGCTGAAAATGACACCACCAATTAGTGACAAAGCTCATACCAAACTAAACCCAGGACTTCCTCCCTCCCTTTGTCTTTTTTTTTTACTTGAAAGTACCCAGATACCTTCTTTCTTTAGTCGAAAGAACCTGTTAGAGAAGGTATCCACTCTTCCCAGTCACCCAAGATGGAAGATACATAGCCATCTCTGAGTCCCTACATTGACTTGGTCACCCAGTCCAATTCAGCCAATTTTCTTCCCTAAATATCTCAAATCCTGTCCTCCTTTCCGTCCCCACTGCCCCTGCTCTAGGGCAGGCCTCCATCACCTACCACCAGGACTATTGTAGGAGCCTCAGAACTGCCTTCCCTACCTGCAGACTCGCTCCGAGCAGAACCATCCCCAGCAGGACTGCTAGTACGCTCTTCCTAAATCCCAACCCTGTCTATTCCTCTGCTGGAAATCCTTGAATTACCCAGAGTTCAGACTCTATCATGGGACACAAGCTCTTTATGATTTAGCTCGAAGTTACGCTTTAGCTTCATCTCCCAATATCCCCCTGAACCACCAAGGACATACACCATGTGCTGCTGCCACACAAACCTCTCGATTTCCTGTCTGTACCACTTCCTCTCAAGCAGCCATGACTTTGCACATGCTATGCCTTTTCCTACTAACTTTTCCCTTTTTTTCCTCTCTGTCGAACTCACTCATCCTTCAAGACCGAGTCCAAATGTCAAATGAAGCCTCACTTTTCCTTCTGGGTTTCCATAGCCTTTTGAATCAACATTTCTTGTAGTCCTTGCAGGAGTGTGTGTGTTTGTGTGCATGTGCATGTGTGTGTGTGTGTGTGTGTGTGTGTGTGTCTGCTTCCCTCCCTGGACTATTTAAAGCCTCTCCAGGATCAAGTGTTATGACTTGCTCTAGTTTAGAATCCTCCCCACATCCTCACATTACCCCCAAAACACAGCACCGGACCTGGTAAATCATAGATACTCAATTCCTAGTGAAACAATGAATGGGCAGTAGTGTGGAATGAGACTTTTCCTCTTTTCTCAGAGTAACACTTAAAGCCCCAATGCTGAGCTCAACAGTTGATAGTTACCCACATGTTCTGAAGAGCAGCTTCTAGACACACCCCCACAGGATCAACTAAGAAGTGGCCACACCACTCTTGAGCACTTCCCTGGCTCCTCATATATCCTTTATGAGCTGATGTCTAGAGTTCACTAAGGATGATGATAGGGAAGGAGATGGTGATCCAGTGAGGGGCGCTGGGCATTTTACCTCCCATCTGAACTCCAGCCAGGGGAAGACAGGACCCCTAGATAATTGCTTAGAGAAGGGAAGACAGTCCCTCACCACTCAAGGAGATTTCTTGGGCATCAGGAACTCACTGGCTCTCCTGGAGTGGCTCTCAGATCCAAGCCCAGTGAGAAAGCTTTTAAGAAATCTTGACACGATGGCCCTGGAGTTTGGGGACGTTAGAGAGGAATGTCTTCTTCTCCACTCCTGTTGTTTCCTCCCATGGGGAAGGAGTTCTGTGAGTGTAACACTCCTGCCCTCACTCATTCCCCAGAGGAGGAACAGTTACTTATGTCTCTAGTGGGCTTAGAAGGTTAACACGGGCCTGCACGGCCCTGCCTCTCGGTCTCCCTTTCTCAAGGCCAAGAGCAGCCCACAGGAGTTTGTGTTCTCCTCTGCTCTAAGTTTGAAAAGGACGTGCATCTCAGAGGGCTGCTTATGGTTTCACAGGCATAACCCTAACCTCAATATTTGACTCATGAGGCTTCAAACCTTAAGAAATAAAAATAGAGAAGTCAGGGGAGCAAAATGCACAGCAAGAGATGGAGGCTTCTGCTCCAACCAGGGCAGGTGGCTTCACGCTTTGGAGGTGCTTACCCCACACAGGCCGTGTGGGTTTTACTGTGGTTCTTCATGGCAATTGACTAAGAGCCATCAATGTGTTTGGAACCAAGTGGGCTTTTGGATGCTGAACTGGGGGGAGGAGCTCCAAGCCTTAGGCTGCAGTGTTTTTTGGCAAGTTTCTAGAGCTTGGACTGGCTTTGACCCAGGGCTTTGGGGCTGGGGCTGCGCACACTGACCACTAAGCGGTGGTGAGCAGGTGCACTGGACTCTTTAGGCTGGAGCGGCCCTAGATGTGGCTTGTGCTGTTCCTGTGGTTATGAATTCAGACAGCTTCCTCTACCAGGCAAGGGTCCCAGTTCCTCCCATGGAGGCATGACCTGACAGCACCTCCCTCACATACATCATGCACCTTTCAGCTCCACCCTGGGGCTCCTCTCTTGGGCTGAAGTGCAGACGTGCAGAGAAGTTGACCTTAGCAATGGGATATTGCAATCAGTGAATAAATTTTGCTCCTTTTCTCCACTCTAAACCCTTCCTCAATGGACTACTCAGAGATACAAAGGCTTTATGTGACCTCTCGGAGGACATCCTGAGAGAACAAGCCATTAACCTATTGTAAGCTGTGGCCAAGTCAGGTACACACACCCTCACATGTGTCCTCCTTCTCCCCCAGCCTCCCCATCCCCTCTCACTCCTGCTTCCCTGGGATTGTACTCACTCATAATGGGTTAGCACGTGAGCTTTTGCTTCAGGCTATTTTCTAGGGAACCAGAGCTAAGACAGCAGGTTCCATAGGCCTCAAGCCACACAGAGTTTCAGCCAAATGGTGGCCACATGGGACCTAACAGTCAGATGCCCAGCATGTGGCCTCAGCAAGTGGGAGGACATGGTGAGAGCCTCAGCAAAGCCAGGGCCTTGGAAAATTACCCACTTTTGCTTCAACAGATGTGGGTTTCCTGAACAGCTGTGGCTGCGGCAAAGATTCAACCATAAAAAAGAACTTTTTCGTGAAAGGCCTTTGACATATTGGGAGCCAGGGCAATTTTTTCTGCTTTTAATCAAAGGCAGCTGACTTCTTGCGTGTCCTAAAGCTTTTCAAGCTGTTAGGTGTTAGCTTCTTGCCAAGATAGGCAGCGCTGCACCTGCTGCCCCAGCCTCAGCTGAGCCTTTCAAAAAGGAAACCAGACACCAGAGACAAGAGCCTGAACAGCGCCCTGTGCTGCCTTGCAGAGCACGAGGGAGAGACCTGCTCTCCACCACAGAACTGCAGCTAACCCAGGGGTGGAGCGGGGGCAAGCAGGCCCTGGGAGGCAGGATTTTAGGTCTAATTGCAAATCAAGAGATGCCAATGGCAAGAGTAGCCCAGGACCAGAGGAAGAACTCTGTCCCACTCTATTATGGAGGCCACATGACCCAATAAAGGTCAGCCTCTGTGTCGCTCAGGGAAAGCAGAAGCACCAGGCTCAAAATAGGAAATGTTAAAATCCCTCAACGGGAGAGGAAGGCTCCTCCCAGGTGGATGTCTCCTCCTTCTACCTCCCCTTTGCATCGTGGCAAAGCAAACCTCTTCTGGAAAGATCTCTTCCACTTGAGTTACAATTGTAGACTCCAGACAGATATAAAGATTGAGGTCATTCTGGCAAGACTAACATTAAAGAGATCTTTTCCATCTCCCCTCCATGATTCAGACACAGTCTCTTTGGCAATGCTAAATGCCAGGCCCTGGGGACATGAATTTATTGGGATAACTGCTCAGGAGTTTGAGACTGGCTCCTTTTCTACAGTCGGTGAGTCTAGGGCCAGTGCTGCGTAGTCTGACGTGTCCTAGTTACTCTCCAGATTGTTTTAAATAGTGTCTCAGTCTGCCCGGGCTGCTTTAAGAAAAACATCATAGACTGTGTGGCTTACAAACAGCAGAAATTTATTTCTTACAGTTGTGAAAGCTGGGATTTCCACAGGCAAGTTGCCGGCAGAGTCAGTGTCTGGTGAGGGCCTGCTTCCTGGTTCATAGACATGCGCTCACATGGCAGAAGGGGCAAGGGAGCTCCCTGGGGCCTATTTTATAAGAGCACTAATCCCCTCTGTGAGGGCTCTGTGCTCATGACCTAATCACCTCCCAAAGGCCCCATCTCCTACTACCATCACATGGGGGATTAGGTTTCAACATATGAATTTGGAGGAGACACAAACATTCAGTATGTGGCAAATTGTAAGACAAACCATCTACCAGCTAACCTTGGGATAATGTGAGCATGAAAAAGAATGTTGGTAGCAACAAGCTATAACATTGAATTTGAAAAGAATTCGTGAGATAACTATTCTCAAAAGAAAAAAAGGGTAGGCAAAAGCTCTTCTTTACAGAAGAAAACAGATAGTAAGTGTTGAAGGAATGTTGACCTTAGGAAATCACTTTGCCATCCCCTGGTAACAATTGCTTCAGGCAAGGATCACCAATAGATGTTAAAATTACTGGATGAGAGGTTGCTGGGCAACAGGCCATCCACAGGATCTCAATGCATCACCACTCTCAGTACTTGTCAATCAAAAGGAGGGATGTACCTTTACAATGGAGAGAGCTGGCAGGGCCAGTCCTAATGATGTGATCAGACATGGCATCACCAGTAGTGGGCGCCACTGACCCTATGTGCCCTCTGATGGGAGCAGGGGCGAGTCCAGGCTCCCCCTTAGAGTGCTCTTGTCAAAGAAGCTCACCCAGAACCTATGGGAGAAGATGAACAAATTCAGAACGTGGGCCATTCGGAGAGAGACTCCCGAAACTGCGGAA